CGCAGGGGGCTCCTGAACCGCCTCGGGAGCAGGAACCGGCTCCCTGCCGCACGTCAGCGGGCGGAGCGGTCGCTCGCCTCTCTGACGAGACCTTGTCCGCAGGCCGGGGAAACCGCTCGCAAGGCTGTGGGAGACCGCGGCGGTCCGGCGGTGCCGGTTCCCCAGCGCACGGGGAGTGGTAATCCGAGGGCCCCCGGAGATGTCTTCGTGGGTGGGTGACCTTTTGGAGAGAATATCCGCGATATAGCTCATCAGTCCGAAAGGAGCACCTTCACCGCAGGCAGGTACAAAGGTGAGTGTGTTTCCTGTCTTGCACGAGTCGTCGTCTCGTTTGCAACGTCTTGTGCCATCTGGGCAGGCAGGAGTTTCAGAATTTGAGGCTTTGCTCAGCCAGTGTGAGTACTGCAATTTATTCCTACTTCGGTTGCCCTACTGTAAGGCAGGGGTGGTATTTCCAGCCCCAGTTGCAATAACCCATCAGTTAATAAAACTGCAGTGATTTGCAGCTGTGAGATGCTGAACAAAATGACAGTGCAGTTTTCCTTCAAAAATCAAACCTGTGCCAAACTCGGCATTTACATTAAACTTGTTTTTTTTTAAAGTCTTCCTTTGTAATCAATTTCTGTCAGTGTTTGTTTGCCCTCTCCTTGGACAAGTCCCTGATGCTGAAAAAGTCAGCTTTGCCAGTCGTTTTTGGAGTGACAGCGTAAATGGTATGTGGTTGGCGTGGAGCCGCAGCGCGTCTGGCTTGGCTTCAGGCAGCTGACTGAGGGAGAGGGAGCGAGCGAGGGAGAGAAGATCAGTCAGAAGTCCAAGGCAGAGCATTATTGGCACAGGCGTCCCTAGGAGCACCAAGAGCAGCACCAGGCCTCATGTGCCAGTGAAGCCAGAAACGCCTTAAAAACACAGATATGGCCTACAAATCAGCAATATTTGCAGGAGAGGCTGTCTGGAGCTGGAAGGCTAATAATGGGGGAGAGGGAAGCTGCATTTCGTGGTATTGCAGTTTCCTTTAGGTCCATGGATGGTGGGAGGGTATAATTACTCCACTCAGAGGGCTGCTTCTGGGGGGAGTTTGGTATACCAGCTTTTATATGCCTGCTTCCTTGTCTCCAAGGGACTCAGTTCCTTCACGCATGAAGATGGTGCAGAATCTGATAGAGAAATAAACGGCTAAAAAGATTGGCAGCTGTACTTCCGATGCCTTCTCGATTCCTGCACTTGAATTTTCGGCATCTTTCACTTATCTGTTGTGATCCTGCCAAAACACACATGCACTAGACAGCACTGGTGACAGCCTGGTAGGCAGGCAACTTGCTGATCTCCTGCCTGTGGAAAGCTGCCTGAGGATAATGATTAGGCAAATGTTAATGATTTGTCAGCATCTCTAGTTCATTTATTTTTATCAACAAAGCACACTGAGCTTACAGCTAGAGAGAGAACATTCATCAGTGCAGTCCTACTATTGGCACTCTTACTTCCGTCTCCCCCTGCCCACATGTCATGTCTTGAGTTTATTTACAATTTCTTAGAGGAGGGACTAGCTTGTATCACGTCTTGTATAAAAGGACCACAGTCTCAGCTGCAGCTCTGGGTGCTACTCTAATATGAGTCATGAGGGTGAAAGCTGTCTGGTGTTATTGTACTGGGAGAGTTTAACCACTTTTCCTCTGTAATAACTTTCTCTTTGGGATTTTGTTGGATGATCCCAGGGAGCTCAGAAGTTCAAGTGCAGCTGATTTCTCAAGGGCTAGGATCAACCAGCTACATTGTAATAGTCTCAAGAGGGGGGCCCTAGAGGATTTTTAGAGCCACAGAAATGTAGTCTTTGGCCTTTAGTGCTCTAAGCTACTTGGACAAGTCCCAAGCACTGGCCTCTTCCAGCTGCACGTGATAACAGGTTGCTAATGGGAATTTGTTTTCAAATTTTCTGGCTGTCAGTAGTAAACAATGGAAGAGCCCTGGCTCCAGGGACCTCCTGTCCGATAGCATCGGTAGGAATAGCAGAACGCGTTTCCCTGCTGGTTCAGATATTCCTGTTGATCCTGCCTTTCTGGAAGGATTCTCCCTGGCAAGCTTTGGGCAAAGTCTGTGAGAGGGACTTGTTCTGGAAGCAAAGCAGGTTCCTCTCCAGAACAGACACAGTGCAGAGCACAAGACAGCTTCCTCCCATCTGCAGTCCCCTAGGCAGGACCTGAAGGAAACTGCCAGCGCGACAATATCCTGCACTCACTGGCCCATGTAATCCTTGACTTCTCTCCTGACATAACTACGAAGGAGAGGGCTGTTGATTATGGATTTCCTTCTTTTTCAGTATGACTCAAGACCCGCGCCCCCCCCCCCCCACCCCCTACTTTTTTTTTTTTCTACCTATATCACAAAGGTCTCTGAGCTACAAAAGCACCCTTGGGAAGTTGTAGTTTTATGTTGTTATGACCCTGGCTCAGGATTCAGTGACCCAGAAGAGCAGGTTACACCCTTTAAACTGCCCCCCATCTGGATGTTACATACAATTTTTATGATTGTTGAGTTTTATTTAAATTTTTCTCAAGTCTATCTCTATCTGCTTTTGCTTGAAGACCTTTCTGCCTCTTAAGCCAAGAGCAGCAGAGAACCTGCCTGAGATCCCCACTGGAAGGGCTGCTGAAAGTTCTACGTCAGAACACAGCAGGTCATAAGGAATTTTGGGATTGAAACATGATGCTGCCAGTTGCCTGCAAATATATTTCCCAAGCATGCATATAGGAAGGAGAAGTTATTGATCAAGTTCAAGTAAAGCCAAAAGACAAGTCAAATTCACTACTGGTGCCTGCTTTTGTCAATAAAGCTTCGTCCAATTACACTAGCACAGGATTTGGCCCACGGAGACAAGGCCTGGGGTAGGCATACCTCACGGGTGATCTAGCATGGCGATTCCTCCGTTGCTGAGCAAAGAGCAGTTCTGGTGATCATTGCTTGCTTGCTTGAGAGGTTGCTTTCTGTGCTGGGTTAATTCCTTGGACAACCCTTTGTCCCTGGCACTGAAACACGCCCTCAACAAGAGAATTAATGAGACACAGAAGGAAGAAAAGGGCTTTGATTTGCAACTTGTGCTGCCCTCATGTTTGCACAGAAATCCATTCTGCAGCAAAGGGAGGGATCAGAAGGCTGGGAGCCGGGGCCGGCAGGCAGGCTCAAGCACAGCTGTGCTCCTGTCTCCCACAGAGACCATTTGGTGCCTGAATTTGAAAGGTTACCTCATCCTTAGTTTTAACTGATCCTTTCTAATGGTGTCATGGCCCAGGCAGCAGCTGAATAGAGCATCTGAAAGCATCTCTGAAGGAAAAGGGTGCCTGATCCATCCAGGGTGCCTTTGGAGATAGTCATTAAGGTGAGGAAACCGAATTAAACTCTTACACCCTGTATATGATACTGCAGGAATGAAGAAAAGAGATAGCACAGGAGGCTTTAAAGGAATTCTCAGAAGCAGAGAGCAGGGGACACAGACAAGCATCCTGTTCTCTGCAGCCACAGGATGAAGATCAGAGATCGGAGATGTAGTTTAAAACATTTTGCAACAACTCCAACGGCAACGGCTGCTCAACCGTGGCGCAGAGGGGAGCAACTGGCTCCATGGCAATGGTGTCCTGACTACCAGTAGGGATACAACAATTGAAAAGGCACAGATTTTACCTCAAAAATAAACAGTTCAAACACAATTTATGCATATGCATGAAAATATTTAGAAGGGTTCACGTTAGGGTTACTTCTAAGGCGATTTGACCCTTTGAAAATGAAGTGGAGTTGTCGTTCTTTAGTCACTTCTGCTACATTTCAAGACCTGCAAGTCTGCAAGTGCTCGTTCAGTGCCAGGGAGTGAGTCTTTAATATTAAAGTCACAGGATTTAAAGGGGAAAAAAAAAAAAAAAGACAGGAATACCCTCCCTAATTGTCTGCCTTTCCCATCCTAAGCATCCTTTGTCCAGTATGAAAGAACAAGAAGGGCAAAAGGAAGTGCCCTGCCTTTTTCCAGGTCTTTCACCCATACTTTTTAATGGCAGTTTGCAATGGTTTAGGTGAGCGAGTCACAGGGAGCTGCACGCATAGATGTCCTGACATAAACCTTCCTTTTCACTGCACTTGGAAAGGGAAGCCAAACCAGGCTTCTGGTCTGCTTCATGTTCCAGTTCAAGGAGTTGGACAAAGCTTCTGGCTTGGAGCTGCAAAGAAACATTCAGCTTAAACGTGAAACTTCACTTGGAACGGTGGCAAACAGAATTACAGGCACAAGATATGGGGCTCCCATATCCCATGTGGCCTATGCAAAGAATCTTCCCCACAGTAGATTTTGTGGTGGTTCATCCAAACCAGTCTGAAGGGAACAAAGCAATGTGGTTTCTGCTACTTCCCTTTCGGACGGCCTTCATCAGCCAGATAACCCTTGCAATGAGGAAACGTTTGCTTGCTGTGTAGCCTCATTACCAAGCATTTTTCATATTAACTCATTCCTCCAGTGGCCCAGAAACTTCACTGTCATATTATCCCTTATTTACCAACAGGGGAGTAGGAATACCAGGGAATTAAGGGCATACTCTCAGAGAAGCCAAAATGCTGCAGGTTCTTTTGATGTCAGCAAGTGATTGGCTGTAAATACAACCATCAGCATCCCACTGGTACAACAGCTTTGCAGAACCCTTCTAATGTCCCTTTCACAATGCATCTTTTTTCTTCTGCTTGTAGCTGTCCTGATGTCCCTGTAAATTCATCTTGGAATTTCCTGTGCGTGGAGGATCTTCTGAATTAAAAAGCTTCCTTCTACGCTTCCCCTTCCAATTCCTTCCTTCAAGATGGCATCCGACAGCCCGGAGTCACTAATGACCTTGTGCACAGATTACTGCCTTCGCAACTTGGAGGGGACTCTCTGCTACCTACTGGACAATGAAACTCTCCGGCTTCATCCTGACATCTTCTTGCCAAGCGAGATTTGTGACAAACTTGTCAATGAGTACGTCTCAGGCCTGTGGAGAAGCGGTTGTCTCATTTGGGAAAAAGCCAGGAGTCCAGGGAAGGGGAAAGGAAGTTCTTTAAGACAGACTGGTGGGAAGGATGCGAGGGAAAAAAAATGGGAAGAAATTCACAGGGATTTTTTTTTCGGTTTGATCCTCATATCGGAAATATGGCTCTGCATTAACATTGGAAGGAAGCGTCCCCAGGGGTTATTGTACCAATATATGCCATGCTAATTTTGCCAGTCACCTTTCCCCACATAGGTAAACCCAGAGTGAAAAAAGTCACTATTTGTTCCAAGAGTATCAGTAAGCAACACAGGAGCCTGCCCATTTTCCACCACAGAAGCATTAAAACTCTCTCTCAAGCCAGAGAAATAAGAGCACAAACTGCTAGCACAAGTTGCACTTTAAGGCTGCTACTCCTATAGCTTTACAAAGCAACCTGCTTCCAGGGATTTATAACTTGGTCATCACAGTCTGTCTTGGCTGAACTCCTGTCCGTGGATTCTGGCAGAGAACCCTGGCCAGCTCATTTTCTGAAAGTGGAAACCGCCCCCC